TTTAAAGGAAATGGCACAATATCTAGAAACATAAGGACTTCATGGATTACACAACAGTTAATCTATCTAGATATGTACCAATTGCCCGTTACACAATATGGTAAATTTATACGCCTACCATCATCTAAAAACCAATCTGTAATCTACTTGAAAATATCCAAAGGGAGACAACGCAACAATATTAACATGTAGAAGATATCGATGATTATCTGCCATATTTGACTCACTCGGCGGTCTATAATTTTTCAGTCCTAATTTTTAAGGGCAGTGTATGTGTCTGTGTTAGGAACGGATAGGTCTCAAGGATCATGCCGTCGCCATGAACTGTGCAGGGTAGAAAGTGTTACATAAATTTAAAAAAAAAACCTGTCAATATTTTTAGGAATATCCAGAGTGTTACGCGTGCGGCATCACGGCTTAGACCAACACAGTGATGTCATAATAATAGTCTAAAGATGGTCGCTGCACTTCTGACATGCAACAACGCCATCTGTTATCTGAAGCCCCTCGTACATTCACAACCAATGTCTGACACTACCAGAGGAGGAAAGACAAAACGCGGAAACCACAAGACACAAGCGATAACAGAGCATTTGATAGTCATTAGGCAGGATGTACGGACACAGCACCCACTGCTCTTCTGATCTGGCAGCTTCTACAACACAGACTATCTTCGTACCCGTATTGGACTACACCACGCTGGTGTAAACGTACCAGGTGCCCCAATTATAACTTCTTTTTTTTTTAGGCTCAACCGGATACATGAGAATGATAAAGTTCTGAATTTAAATTTAAAATTAACTTTAATACGATTTTATAATCTCAGGGTGTCAAAATCCTTCAGGTAGCAATCTGAAGAGGAGAAACAATATGTACAAACACACCATGCTGGGTTCTAACCATGTTGCTGTGTTCTTTCCTTTTAAAGTTGCCATAGCAAGCCCAGGAAATGATGGCACTGAAGGACAACATAAGCAAAAACTGGCCCATATTACCAGCTGGGCCAGTACACAACATTGCAGATTTCAAACAGCAGGCAGCTAGCAGCAGACCAAATAAACAGCAAGCAAAAACAACAGAAGACACAGTCACCGAACACACCCACAACCAACAACAGCAACCACAGGGTCAACAATAACAAACGCATATCTTCAAAAACAACGCATCATCAACAACATCAATAACAACAAACACATTTTCAACAACAACAAACCCATATTTAACAACAACAACCACATCATCACCAACAAACAAACATTATTTAAAAGGGAGGCTGAGTGGTCTCGAGGCATAGTGTTCGCCTCAAGTGCGGAGGTCCCAGGTTCAAGCCCGGGTGAAGGCTGGTATTTTTTTCTCGTGGACTTCTAGTAATTTCCCCCTGATCTCTGGGTAGTAAGACAAGATGCCCGCGTGTATTGTTGTGCACGTACAAAATCCCTTGGCAGTTGGAAATTCGCCCGTGTGTCACCGGGGCCCTCACGGGAAGCAAAGAATAGTGACACTGCACCCTACCAGGCATGTCGTAAGAGGCGACTAAGGGTAGGGTTGGGCTCGAGGTTGGCTACCTCATCCTGTAAAAACCATAGCCACAAAAACCAACTAACCATGGATAAGTCAAAAAGAGAAGCAAATAAAATCCAGCCAACCAAGATGAGGAAAGGCTCTTCAAATAGAAGAAGTATGACACGGTGTGGAGAAAGCCGTAAGGAGTCCGGATCGTTGACTTACCTCCTCTCAGCTAGGAAAACCTCCAGAATTGGCACCTGTAATGTTAGAACTCTCTATGATATAGGGATAACAATGAAAGTAGCAAAGGAAATGAAACATTATAGAATTAGTATTTTAGGGTTATGTGAAACTAGATGGACTGGGGCAGGGAAAAGTATTCTAAATTCAGGAGAAACTATTTTGTTCTCAGGACACACAGAGGAAAATTCGCCGCACAGTGAAGGAGTGGTCCTGATGCTATCAAAAGAAGCAGACAGGGCACTAATAGAATGGGAAGCTGTGAGTCCCAGAATAATAAGAGCATCTTTTAGAACAGTTAAACAGAAGGTGAACATGTCGGTAATACAGTGTTATGCACCAACAAATGATAAAGATGCATCTGTTAAGGAAGAATTTTACATACAGCTTCAAAATATAATAAATAATGAAAGAAAGGGCAACTTAAAAATTTTGATGGGTGACTTGAATGCTAAGATAGGATCAGACAACACAGGTTATGAAGAAATTATGGGGAGACATGGTCTAGGAGTAATGAATGAAAATGGAGAATTGTTCACAAATTTGTGTGCAGGTAACCAGTATGTTATTGGTGGAAGTATTTTTCCCCATAAAAGAATACACAAGGCAACATGGGAATCACCAGACCATAAGACAACTAATCAAATTGACCGCATATGTATTAACAAAAAGTTTAGATCATCCCTTTACGATGTTAGGGTTTTCAGAGGTGCCGATGTATTTACTGACCATTTCCTGGTGGTAAGTAAAATCAAGTTGAAACTAAAAAGATATATAACATCTTATAATCATAGAAACCAATATAATGTAGGCTTTCTCAGAGATAAAGAAATTAAGGAACAGTTCTCAGTTACGGTCTCTAATAAGTACCAGGTGTTGCAGCAGTTAGCTGAAAATGACAACACAGAAGTCTGCTGGGATCAGATCAAAGGAATCTGGAATGAATCTTGTGTAGAAGTTCTTGGCAAGAAAGAAAGGAAACATAAAGCATGGATAACACCAGAAACCATTAAACTGATTTAAGATAGGAAAAGTAAAAAGGCAGAATTAAACAATAGCAAAACTAGAGCTGCTAAAGCTAGAGCTCAGGAGAAATACACAGAAGCCAACAAGGAAGTTAGGAGACATATAAGGGCAGATAAAGTGAAATATCTAAATGAAATATCAAGAAGCAGAGACAGCAGCAGCAAAAGGAAACATCAGAGAACTTTACAGTAACACAAGAAAATTAGTAGGTAAATATATTCAGCCAACTGGATCAATCAAAAATAGTCAAGGAAAGGTACTTACTAACACTAAAGATCAAATGGACAGATGGGTTGAATATTTTGAAATGCTTCTAAATAGACCAGGCCCAGAGGTTCCCCCAGATATCCAGCCTTTAGAAATGGAACTGGATATCAACTGTGAGATACCATCCAAAGAGGAAATTAGAAAAGCTATAAATCTTCTCAAGGAAGGAAAGGCGACAGGCCCAGACGGTATCCCAGCTGAAGCCATCAGGACCAACATAAACACATCAACAGAATTGCTACATAGATTATTCAGTAAAGTCTGGGAGACCGAAGAAATACCAGCAGACTGGAGAGAAGGATATCTTGTAAAACTGCCCAAAAAAGGTGATCTACAGGAGTGTGAAAACTATAGAGGAATTATGTTGCTGTCAGTTCCTGGAAAAATATTAAGTAGAATTATTTTGGAAAGATTAAAAGATGCTATTGATAAAATGCTAAGAGATGAGCAGGCAGGTTTTCGGTCAAACAGATCCTGTACTGATCAGATAGCCACATTACGTATTATAATAGAGCGAAGCATTGAACTGAACTCACCACTTTACATTGGATTTATAGACTATGAAAAAGCATTTGACAGCATAGATAGGGAATCTCTCTGGAAATTGATGGGGCACTATGGAATCCCACAGAAAATTATCAACTTAGTAAAGCAACATATAAAGACATGAAATGTCGAGTTATTCATGAGGGAAAGCTAACAGATGCATTTGAAATAAAAACAGGTGTGCGACAGGGATGTCTTTTGTCGCCTCTCATATTTTTACTGGCTATAGACTGGACTATGAAAACAGTAACTGCTAACACCAAGAATGGAATTCAGTGGACCCCCACAAAACAGCTTGATGATCTGGACTTCGCTGATGATATTGCTCTTCTGTCCCATTCACGGAATCAGATGCAAGATAAATTAAATATACTTAATGCGAGATCACAGCAGCTTGGTCTGAAAATCCATAAAGGAAAGACAAAGATAATGAGAATAAATCAGGCAAATAGTAATGTGGTTTCTCTTAATGGCACCCCACTCCAAGACGTGGAGTCGTACACCTATTTAGGCAGTAATGTAGATAAAGATGGAGGAACTGATAGAGATATTAAAATAAGAATACAAAAGGCAAGAGGGGCTTTCATAGAACTAGGGAATTTGTGGAGGTCAAAAGAAATACTAAACTAAAAATTTTTAATTCTAATGTCAAATCAGTACTATTGTATGGGGCGGAAACGTGGAGAACAACCAAGGCAATTACTAATAAATTACAGACATTCATTAACTGGTGCCTGCGCAGAATAGAGGGAATAAAATGGTATGATAGAATAACTAATGTAGAACTTTGGGAGAGAACTAAACAGGCTTCAGTGGATCAGGAAATGAGGAAAAGACGCTGGCGTTGGATAGGGCACACACTGAGAAAACAGGAGAACAGCATTACTAGAATGTCTTTGCATTGGAACCCACAGGGGCATAGGAATAAAGGAAGGCTAAAAAACACATGGAGAAGAGAGCTGGAGAACGAGGTTAGAAAGATTGGGAGGATATGGGGAGAGCTCCATGCAATGGCGAGGGATAGAACAACTTGGCGTGAGTTGGTTGAGGGCCTATGCTCCATTGGGGGATAGAAAGGCAGAAGAAGAAGAAGAAGAAGAGTTGGAAATTGAAAAGAGTAGCCTAACCGCGTTGCCCTTGCCCTTGTATTTCAGTATCCTCGCCGGTGCTAGGGAGTTCGTGCACTGCACTGAGATTAATCAGACTCAGGCTTGAGTCAGAACTAGAACGGAGCATTTACGGGTTACTACCCTTGGGCCATGATGTTGATCCGTCATCTAAACCCAAACTTATTTAACAACATCTCTTAGAAGAACAACATACACATCTTGAACAACAACAACAAGAAACATTTTCAACAACCTCAACTATAACAACAAACACATGTACAACAACAACAAACCCGGTCTACTTACCATGAGAGTGGTCTAGCTGGTCCACCTTGCCATCAGTGGATCTCTCAGCATCCAAGTAACGGATTGGATTCTCTCTGCCATCCATCTCAATGTCCAGTAGACTCTCATCATCTGTACTATTGGTTGTGGCAACACGCTCCTGACTGCGTACAAAGCCACTTGTCCTCAGTCTGGGAAGCATAAATATTCACTGTAAAGATGTTTGGTTTCAGAGTACACTGGATGTAGTGTAGAAGTCCCTACCTAGATTGTGCAGCATCATTGGCCCCCTGGGGTTAGAGGAGGAGGGGATGGGGGGAGTGGGAACAGACACACAAGCATGCCATAAAAGCTAATTAGGGGGTTTAACGAAACTGGATGTATTGCACCGGAAGGCAGCCGAACTGAACAGAACAACACAATGGATGCAGAAGAAAAATGTAACAATTATGCTAAACTCTTTGTTAGGCCGGCCACTGGTGCATCACACATTTGGTGCCAGACTCACATTTGCATAGTTCAATTGTTTTTCAATAGGTGACTGAGATTAGGATTTATCATCACAGCACCCGGGACAGATCCACAGGTGCTTTGATTGACTTCTGAAAAGCTCTGCAAGCATAAACGGACTGAAGACACCCGTTCAGTGCTGTTTAAACAAACGTCTTGTCCCCTTGGTGAACTGTTTATTTCTTGCAGCTCTAGACTGCATCCCAAGTCCATCAGCCTAGACAAAGATACAAAGATGACTTCCGGTCAAAATGGACGCTGGGCACGGCTACTGTTTCGAGCCATGGCAAATTTTTTGCTTCTGCCAGATGGAGGCCGTTGCATTTTTGCTCCATTTGTTGACTGAAAGGATATAGTTTCGTCGCCCAGATTCTAAGTAGAGTGCATGATGTGACACTGTGAGCTGCGGATTTAATTTAGAATGTTTTTCGCCTGTGACCAGCATAGTGGTGTGAATTGCAGATTCAGAAAATGGCACGATGCCTGTTGTCGCAATATTGGTGGTGCCATTGTGTGATTAAAATTGATCGTGTGTGCAACTGCTGATCTGTTGGTGACTTCTGCTACCATCCATGATGAATTGCATTTCTAATGTTGGACTGTTTGTGTTGGCACTTCGGATGGCTGCTGTATGCTTTTAATGTGTGTGTATGCTAGACGTGCTGAGACAGCAGTCGGTCAATCTTTTCTCAAGGGACTGTGATTAACATTCTGTGTGTTTTTTCGTTGGCACAGGAGCAGAGCAACTATGAGGTGACCCGTTTGCTATGAAGCTGAAACTAAGGTTACAAGATTACCAAAGATACAAATGTCAGGGGTTTCAGTCGATAGGCGATGTAGTCAACATCCTGCTGGTCATCTTTACTTCTTATGACATTTCCATGGTACCTATTATCATCTCATCATCAAGTGCCTTGCTGACTGGCATGGGCGATCATGCCTCTCCACAATCCGTGATCTGCAACTGCCTGTATCAGTTCGTGTGCTAACACCATCCATGCGATGAGCAAAAGCTATCAAGAATCTTCTCACGCTATCTTCCCCTTTCTCTCTTTCCACAGATCTTTCCAGTGGTCACAATATGTTTCAGTTTCCATCTCCTCATTACAGAGTCGAAAAATGATGACTATCTCTTTCTGATGCTTATGATAAGTTGTCTTTGAGTACTTGCCTCTTTAAAAAAATATGGGTTGCACTTCATAGCTTTCCAAGGAATTCTAAGGATTCTTCTGTAAAACTACTTCACCATTATAGGCTTGGTCGTATTGGAGAATATGTGTACTTGCAGGTTAAACAATGAAATTCTATAACTAATAATCTGACATCAGAGTAAGCAATTCTGTGAGGATTGTTGACCAACAAGCAACTTACCAACAATCCAGTTAATCAAACAACCATCGAAACAATGAACTAACCAACTGACATTAAATCCATCAAAACAAGAAGTCAACTAGCTAAAAATATCAACCAAAAAAACTGACTGACTGACTGACTTTCTACCCCACCAGGACATCACACAAGCGATAAGCACCCAACGACACAAAGTGCCACCATGTGGATGAGGATCACCGTGGAGAGGTCTCAGAAAACACATTCAGCCAATTGGCCATATTTATGGCGTGACTATGTTGCGGCCCCTGGCAAGAGCCAGGGTGGGGCTTCAAATAGCGAAAAATTTCATCCTAAAAAGGGTAACAAATAAATGAGTTGGATTGGCTTTTTACCCCACTAGGACATCACACAAGCGATAAACACCCGATGACACAAAGTGCCACCATGCGGATGAGGATCACCGTGGAGAGGTCCCAGAAACCGCGTTCAGACATTTGGCCATATGTATGACCTGCCTATATTGCGGCCCCTGGCAAAAGCCAGAGTGGGGCTTCAAAAAACAAAAAATAACGTCCTAAGAAGGACGTAAGGAATATTAACAAATAAATGAGTACACGACTGACTGACTGACTTTCTACCCCACCAGGACATCACACAAGCGATAAACACCCGATGACACAAAGTGCCACCATGTGGATGAGGATCGCCGTGGAGAGGTCCCAGAAACCGCGTTCAGACATTTGGCCATATTTATGGCCTGCCTATATTGCGGCCCCTGGCAAAAGCCAGGGTGGGGCTTCAAATAACAAAAAATTTCATCCTAAAAAGGACGAAACTGGATATCAAAATGAGTACACCAAAAAAAAAACTAACAAACAAATCAAACACAGTCTATATACAAAGTACAAATGCTCTCCTGTTTGTGTGTCATTTTAATTCAACTGTTACCTCCTCCCAAACTCTGATCATTAGACGGGTTAGATTTTAAATTTTCATCATAGCTACAATATTTTATTTAAACAGTGGCAGTGGTGGAAAGGTTCATGTCCATTTCAATGCAAGAATCAGTAAAAGTAGACTGTCGCTGCAGTTATATCCCTTCAAAAATGTCTTTTCTTTTATGTCCCATTAATTTGTAAAATTTACTTTCCGCAAACAAGGACAATACATGTGCCTGTCTGACAAACTGTTAAATACCAATGTTAGTATTACTGGGAGTAGTAAGAGCCTTGACTGCACTTACGAGCAATAATTAAATAATGCTTAGAAAAAGATTAAGTAGGGGACGGTAGATTAAATACACGGTTATAGTTTGACCTTTTTTTAACATATATGCTGACAATATTATGTGAAATGAAATTTTTAATGAGCACTGTGACAGCTCTGAAACATTAAAAATTCAGGCAAACTTATCCCAGAACCCATATATGCAGATATTGTTATACCAGTGAATTAGAGGAGACATTAACATTTAAATCTACAAAAAAAAAAAAAAAAAAAAACGAATGAAAGACACTATTCAACATCTACATCTGAAAACAAACTAATAAAACACACACTTCAAAACATTTAAACCTTTTTTTTAAACATTTTTTAAGGAAACAATTTAACATCTTAACTTACAAACTTTGAATGAGAGATACAATTTGACACATCTGTTGCCCAGGTTAATCATATCTAAACCTACAACCAACTAATGAATGACACATTTTAACACACTTAAACCTACAACGAACTAATAAGTGACATTTAAACACATCTAAACCTGTAATAAACTAATGTGAAGAGACAATTAGACATCTAAACCTACAACAAACTGATGAAAGACATTCAAAATCAAAACCTACATTAAATAATGAAATACACATTGAAACATCTAAACCCACAATAAATTATCAAAAGACACAATTAAACATCTAAGCTTACGATAAACTAGTGAAAGACACAATCTGAATCTTAACCTATAACAAACTTATGAGAGACACTTTCTGCACATCCAAAGCCTTTAACAAACTAGTGAATGAAACATCTTAACAAATGTAAACCTACATCAAACTAACAAAAGACACACTACAACATATTTAAACATACAAACAAATAATACGATTCATTAGAAACATGTAAACATACAACACACCAATTAAGCATACAAACCTAGAAAAAAATATTGAGTGACACATGTGCATGCATAGGACACAACAGGATCTGCATCTACAAGTACAAGAAATTCAAGACTGAGGGTTCAGAACATTGCTGAAGTGGACAAGCACCACAGAATAGTGAATATGTGCTACATACATGTTTTTTACATGCAGTAGAACACTACAGGTATGACAAGAAGAAGAGTGACACATTTCAATACATCTAAACCAACAACAAACTAATTAATGACACATCTCAATACATCTAAACCTACCACAAACTAATGAATAACACATTTAAATACATCTAAACCAACAACAAACTAATGAATGACACATTTCAATACATCTAAACCTACAACAAACTAATGAATGACACATTTCAATACAACTAAACCTACAACAAACTAATGAATGACACATTTCAATACATCTAAACCAACAACAAACTAATGAATGACACATTTCAATACAACTAAACCTACAACAAACTAATGAATGACACATTTCAATACATCTAAACCAACAACAAACTAATTAATCACACATTTCAATACATCTAAACCTACCACAAACTAATGAATAACACATTTCAATACATCTAAACCTACAACAAACTAATGAATGACACATTTCAATACATCTAATCCTACAACAAACTAGTGAATGACACATTTCAACACATCTAAACCTACAAAAAACTAATGAATGACACATTTCAATACATCTAAACCTACAACAAACTAATGAATGACACATTTCAATAATCTAATCCTACAACAAACTAGTGAATGACACATTTCAACACATCTAAACCTACAAAAAACTAATGAATGACACATTTCAATACATCTAAACCTACAATAAACTAATGTAAAAACCCAAAATAACACATATATCTTCAACAAAGTAATGAAAAACACTTTTCAAAATCAAAACTTATCAATGAGAGACATGATCTGACACAACTAATCCTTAAAAAAAAAAACACGCATGTACGCACGCACACACACAAATTACCAACATATTTCAACACATACAGACTTACAATAAACTAATAAGAGACACATTGCAACATATCTAAACCTCTAGTAAAGCCCTGGAAGACAAAATTCAACATCTGAACCTACAAAAAAACAACCGGAACCCACTGTTCAACACATCTAAACCTACAATAAACTACCAAAAGATACAATTCAACACATCTAGACCCAAGAGA